ATTGAGTCAAGAACTGTAGAAAATTCTGCACTGCTGAAGCATACTAGATGTGTCCGGTAGGCATACTGGACACGTCTGGTATGCGTGCACAGCAAACCCTAACCAGGGGCTCATGTTTAATCCCAAATCCAATTCATTCCAAGCTTTAACCACGGCTTCTAGAGCACCACTACAGCATACCGTCCAAAGGAATTTGAAAATGAAGCATCAATGAATAGATCGGATGGGTTTCGAGATTTGAAATACCTAGGATGAAGAAGTGACAAGGACCTCCAATCCAATCCAATGTAGACTCCAATCTAGACAAGAATCCACACCACTCCTTCTCCCTTTCTTTCTCCTTCCTCTTTCTTGCATGGGCACCAACGAGAGCGGCAAAGTGGCTGTGGCGACTGTTGCTGAGCGACTGGGGGGCGTAGGTAACAAGGCTAGCTAGTGGAGGCCACAGAGGTAGGTAGCTGTGGCTAAGGAATGCTAGCCGGCGGCGCAGGCGTGCCGAGGGCCGTAGTGCTGGCGGTGCATGGGCAGGGGCGCAAGGAGCAGCGACGCGGGCAGTTCTATCAATCAACTGTGATGGAAAAGAATGAATCCATACAGAGTCTGAAAGGGTACGCCTAGGTATATCCCCCGTGGATACCGGACACGTCCGATACTTGTGGGTGCCGCCCATCTGCTCCAAAATTTGATTTCTTGATTCTAGAACCCTTCTCTATCATTTCTTAATCCAAAGTAATATATGTCCTTGATCAAAATTAAATAGCCACTTTTTTATCCAAAGCCATGAATTGATTCTCTCTTTTCCAAATATTTGGCACATATACAATTTTGAATACATGAGAGAGATTTAGTGAGACATAGGAGTGTATGGACTTGAGAAATAGTCATGCCACTTGTGATTAGCCAATCTATCAATCAATGAGAACAATAATCACAATTGGCATGACTTAGGTCACAAAGACCAAGAATCAAATGGTTTTTCAAATTCACACCACCTATACATGCTAGTTAGGAATTTTGAAGAAACATCTATCCTATGTCACATAAATGCATATTCTATCATATAAAGGGCCTTACATGCACTTACAATGCATAAATGTAAACACATACCTTTGCCCTGAGCCCACATGATTTCCACTAAGAAGACAAAGCATGACAATCATTAATTTCATATGAAATCTCATGGATCAAAACTCAGTTGCAATCCAACTTGGTGTTCTATCCCCTATCATACTGGACACGTCCGGACACATCCGGTATGTGCAGGACAGAACCAACTAATCCATTGCTTGTGATTCTTGATTTCGCTCTTTTGTTTCTTGAATGCCTCCATCTCAACAAATATATTGCTCTGCTAGGAGCCATTAAGAGCACCATATGGCAAACACGATAATTATCACAAGAATCTAGTTAGCCACTAATAATGTTTCACAAGTATGCATACTAGTGAGCTTTTGAGCACAACACCCAATTAGTGGCTATCCTACTAGGTTTTGGTAATTGTTACCAATGGTAAAGATGAAGTAAACACTAAGGTCAAAGATTCAACTTTGGTCAACCAAATGAGAGAATATACTAAGAATTGATTGATAGCTTGAGTGAATATTTTTTTAAATTGCTTGCTCAAGCACCCCAAAGGCTTCATCTCACCACCAAGTACCTACATCAACATCCTAGGCACACTTTGGTACCCAACTCATGCTGGGTCCTTTTGAGTTAGTCAACAAGTGCTTAGGCACCCAAATGGCTTTAAGACTAGTTTGCGGTGAACTCATCACCTTGCTAGTGCTAACTCCATTTGTGACCTTCCTAAGCATATTATCATAACCAGATGTGTTTGCCTTAGGAATTTTACCATTTGAGCAATCATAGCTTAGATGCCCCTTTCTTCTATAAGCATAGCATATACGTCCTTGATTTGCTCTATGCTTCTTTTGCTTGTTGGGACACCTATCAATCATGTGCCCTATCTCATTGCATCCATAGCATCTTCTTGTTGTAACTTGGGCTCTCTTTCTTGCTCCTTTGTACAAGGGGCGATTCTTGGTAGAATGGCCCAACTTCTTACCTATGAGACAAGCACTTGGCTCATCATTCTTCACTTGCTTGGCCACCTTGGTAGAGACTTTTTGTTTGGCAGCTTCAACCTTGTCGGCCCAAGTCTTGTGTGGATACATAGCCCACTCATGTCCATACAATCCACAACCATAGCATAACCTTTTTCTATGTTTCTTACTCTTGGTTTCTTTGATATTGCTTGAGTTGTGATTCTTTTGTTGGGTTTTAGAGGAAGCAAGGTTTGATCCCTTCTCAAGCTTCTTCACCATGTTTTCATAGTTATCTTGAGAAGGTTGTGCTTTCTCCTTACCCTTCAACCGAATCAAATCCTTTCTTAGACTTTCTACTTCTTCTTTGAGCTCATTATTTTCTAAGAGATTTTGCTCAATCGAAGATTGGCTTGCTTGAGAAGCACACTTATTAGTACAAGAATCATTTAATTGAGATGGTGTACAAGTGAGTGTGTGAGTCAGAGGTTGAGATGATTTTACCGATGTGATCATAACCTCATGAGCTACCTCAAGCATGATATGTGATTCTACTAAGTTTTTATGTGAACACTTGAGATGAACATAGTTAGCTTGAAGAACATTGTATTTGCTTGATTGTAAATCTAGTCTTGCCTTGAGCTCAATGTTGTCATTTTCTAGTTGTGACACACTAGAATAGGAGTTAGTAACTAAAGCATGCTCAATTGACAATTTTCTTACCTTTCATTTATTTCGTTTAGTTCTTCCAACTTGGAGATGAAAAACATTTCTTGCTTTTGAAGTGATTGCTCTTTCTTCTCATTTTCTTCTTCTAGCTCATCATTCTTTTCAACTATCTTCATGATGATAAGTTTGTCCTTGTGGCTGAGATGATCAAGGTTGTAGCTATCTTCTATTTCAACATCACTATCTTCTTGATCCTCTACTTGTGCTATCTTATTTACTTGTCCTTTCTTGGAAGCTTTCTTCTTACTTTTATTGACCATGAGACACAAGTGATGAGTATCTTGAGATATTGAGGTTGATTCATCACTTGGTCACCACCGAGCTTGAGCACCATCATCACAGCTAGCTGGACGTGCTGCTGCCTCAGCAATATCAGACACGTCCGGTAGTGATACCGGACACGTCCGGTAGTGATACCAGACACGTCCGGTATGGGCTGACAGTCAGCCCAATATCTGTGGCTTGTACTTGTTGCTCTGGCTCAGTGTCCTTTGGGTCTTGTGAGGCCTCTTCACTGCAAGAAGACACAATTGACATATTTTCTATTGACTCGAGCTCAGGTGCATCATCACATTTGCATTTTCCATACAAATCAACAAGTCTAGTCCAAATGAGATGAGCACTCCCCAAAGGTGTTTGTCTATTGAAGATTGCCTCATCTAGAACCTCTGCACTCAATGTACTCAAAATAACATTAATTGCTTGAGCGTTGAGTTGCACACATCTCTCTTCCTCGTTTGGAATATTTTTTATAGTTGGTCCAATCAACTATAGGAAGAGGGATGCTTGCATCCACAATACGCTCAACAAGAGGACTAATAGCCCTAAAAGCATTGAGTACATGAAATGACCATGATAGAAAGTTTGAACCATCATTTTAAAGAAGCACTAGCTTTGACTCAATAGGCATCGACATCCTTTTCTCATGGTGGTGAAGCTTTTAGTGAGTCCTTGCTTTGATACCAATTGAAAGGACCAAAAGGATGCCGCCTAGAGAGGGGTGAATAGGCGTCACTAACACCTTCAAATGCGGAAACGATTAGTGTAGGAATTTTCGATGACTCGGGAATTCCAAGTTAGAGAAATAAACCCCTCACGAGTTAACCATAGAGTACATAACAAGTACTAATTAAGCCTATGAGCCACAAGCCTGCAACACAAAGATTAGAGCAAAGGGTAAATGAATTTGGCACTGGCCCCAAATACTAGACGTGTCTGGTATCAATACCCGTTGCGTCCGGTATACACGGGTTCTACAGACAGCGGCCCAACTAGCTCCTTTTGATTTCTCCTTTCACACCAAGTTGCAGGCACCTACTAGTGACCTATTGACAAGCTCAAGCAACACAAATAGATCAAAAATACCAAATGAAAACACTACAAAAAAATTGGTTTGTATGACATAAGCACACTGTCATGGTAAGTACAAAATTGGTCATAAAAAGTGTCTTATGACAAAAAAGCAGCGTCATGCCAGTCGTCATATAACGACCGTCACATAATGTACCTTGTGACGATAATATTGAGAACCGTCACAAAATGTTACGACCTTTTTTTGTGACAGTTGTGTCTTTCCGTCACATATTGTTATCTTTTATGACGACTGTAACTGTCACATATTGGTCAGTCAACGCGTCACCTAATGTACGAAACGTCATAAATGGTACGTGCGAGGACAGTCTCAAATAAGTTTTTTTGACGACACAGAAACGTCATATATAAGTATGTGGATTTTGTGACGCCTAGATTTTGTCTTGTTTTGTATGGTAGTTAGAGACATTTTGAGACGATTGTATGGCGTCACAAATTGTCCTCTCATTCATGACGAGCGTGGCAACCATATTCAGTGACGACACACTGATCTTTCATCACAACTCAAAAAAGCATAATACACATATATATCAGCTAAGCCATCATCCACAACATTCTCATCACAAGTCATAAATCATACACAATTCAGTCAAGCCATCATGCATACACATAAATTCAAGACCAGAAGACAGTGGTTCAACATGTTCCAGCACACTTGTTCCACCACATAGTTCTAGGTTCCATCAGGCATGTTCCACCACAAGAGGTTCAAACATATAGAGGTTCCACCACAAAGGTTCAAACATACAAACATATTGCACATAGTTCTGACAAAGTTCCAACCATAGAGTAAGTTCTAGCAAGGTAGCAAAAGCTTAGGCAAAGGCATCATCCTCAGACACTACATTCATACCTACCTCAATCTTTCTGAAGTTTCAGGACAGCTTGTGGCAGTGCATTAGTCTCTTCAAACTTGGTATGCATCCCCTTCACTTCCTCTTGGGTCTGACGCAGCAAACTTTGGTTTTCTTCAAGTGTGGCCTGTTGAGCTTGAAGCTGTGCTTGCAACTCTTCCTGCTTCCTAGCAGCTTCCTCTTTTTCTGCTTGGAGTGTTTCCCCAAACTGAGCTTGCAGGCGTGCTTGTGCGGCTGTCGATGTGGACCGGCCAGTCTTCGATGGTCAAGGGACACCAATGTTAGGAAGGAAGGTGGATGAACGGTTGATCTGGCTAAGGCAGACAGCAACAATCATGGAGGGAGACTTTTGTTCTTCTCCTTCTTCTGGCTCTCTTTCCTTCTCTGCAACCATTTGTTCCTACATAAAATGAATCCACTTAATAACAAGGCCATACAACATTGTTGAACCAGGCATTTACTTGAGTGCAGTACATGCATGTATCCATTGATTTTGTAACTTACATATATTTCATTTGCAAGAGGAGTACGACCATTTTGGGGACTACTCATACATTCCCCAAAGAAATCAACAGCATCTGGCTCCATGTTGTTGTACTTAGTCCTCTACAGCATGTTAAAAACTTGGGATATAAGATTAGCCATAGATTATTTGTACATGCCAACAGCAAGATGCCAAAATATGTATGCACTACAGATCATACAAGTATTTGCCTTAGTATTTGCCTCTAGATTTTTTATGCCAACAACAAATACAATCACAAGCAAAGTCAACTAATTACTGACAGTTCAAGAAAAACAACATAGGAACATGCATCAATGCAACCTAGACAGATCAAGAATAATAACTTGGTCTAAACAACACCTACTACTGATGATGATCATCTCTGATGACATAGCAATTCCTCTTGCAGATTTTAGTTTCAAATGGTCACCATAAAAGAATTGGAGCCTAAACACCTATTGATTATAGCTCACTTAGCACAGCGCAAATACTATGAACATGGGAGCTAATCTCAGAAATAAATTGGAGCATGTGCTAACTTGATAGTTCAAAAGCACATGGTAATTACTAAGCTACAAATGTACAAAAGACATAGTATCCGTACCAGGCTGTATCGATGGGCAATATAGGACCTAGCTCCAGTCCTTTCATGAAGCTGCACTTGGGCTCGGTTTACTTTATTCTTAGCACATTTTTCCTGCACCACATGCAATACAGAGTTGTCATTCACATTCACAGTTTGCATTGCATATTAACAAAAGCAGATAATTCAGGCATGGACCTGATTCTTTGGGTCACACCAGTACTCTACCAGCTTAGTCCATTCCTCTTTCTTCATTTTAGGTGGAGGTTGCTTGGCCAGCAGCTGTTCTTCTATCAGTGACTCATCGAAGTACTTCTTTTTCAGGTGATACCTCGTCTGCCTTACTCCCCTCTTAATGATATCAGTGCATGCAGCTTTACTTGGTGCCTCATTCTTAACATCCACATCCAACATTGACTGAAGCCACACAAATCATTTATTAGATACAATTTTTCACATAGGAGTAGAGTAATGCAAGAGAGTATTTGGAGGAGTGAAATAGATGTCTCACCGCCACTTTGTCAAGCACTTTTTTTACTTCTGCCTTTCCTGCATCATTGTCATAAAGCTTCCATGATGTGTAGATGGGCATGTTGTCTCTAAGGGCAACACCAGTTTCTGATGCCAGCTTTGCTGCCTGAAGTGGGACATCAGGTCTTTTCTTCCCTTAAGCCACTTGGATAGCCAGCTTCTTTCCTCTATTTAGCATCTTCCCAAATGACCATCCCTTGAGGAAAAATAGATCTTTCGATGGCCACCATGAAACTAGAGAGCAGCCAAGGAAATTTAGTGCAAATGAGGTTATGGCAAGGTTGGATGAAGTTTGCTATGTTCCAGGCAAAAATCCAGATAAGCCAAAATCAAGAAAACGACGCTGTAATGGAGAACCAGTATGGCATTTGAAGGTTAGCTTGTATGATTTGCCATACTGGTCAAAATTGAAGCTGCAGTACAACCTTGATGTTATGTGTCGGGGATCTAATACCAGGGTACCCCAGAAGGTGGAACCGATGACCACCGAACGTGAAAAACTTCTAGATGCATAAGGGCTCCATGTCATCCCTTGTTTGAGTATAATGAGGAGTTCGGTTCCGCCTTGACGACCTTGAGGGTGGGCTCGGTCTCGCTTAGAAATTTGAGGATGAATTCCGTCTCGCCCGACCCGGAGGCAGGGTCGACCTACCCACACCTTTGTAGGATAACCTGCCTCGCCCCAAAAGCTCAAGGCTAATCTCCGTCTCGCTTGGCGCCTATAGGGCGGGCTCGATCTCGCCCGAGGGCCGAGGATAAACTCCGCCTCGCCTGACGCCTTGAGGGCGGGCTCGGTCTCGCTTAGAGGGTGAGGATGGATTCCATCTCGCTTGACCGGGAGGGGCGGGGTCAACCTCACCCGACGGCCCGAGCGAGCCTGCCACGATCGATATCTATCCCTCATAATAATGGAGTGCAGGGGCGAGACAAGGCGTTCGGGTCAACCATGGCTCCAACGACCATACCTGCGCCTGGCGAGAAAAAGGCTGCCGAGGCAGCGGGGGTGAAGCTTTAGACCCTTAAGGCGCGCATGAGCCCAAAAGGTATTACAGTGCGTGCACCTCACCTGTCAGAGTTGTAGGCGCCGCCTTGAGCTCTGGGACACGGAACCAAGCGAAGATATCGACAACCGCTACGCTCCGGAAAGGATTTGCTATCTCCACGAGCGATGGGTATTCCATCACCACACGGTGGACCAGAGGGAAGCGGCGCCCGCTTCCGACCCTCGGGTCCTCCCGGTCGAAGGCCTTGACCACGGCGTTACACGGACCCCGACCCCGCATTCTCCCAGCGAGGACTCATGAGAACTGAAGGCGTGCGGAGCAAAAGGGTGGGGGAGGCTCATAAGTCAAAACCAACCTGCATCTGCAGCCCATACCTGCGCGAGGTAGCATTCTGTGACTAACGACATCCTCTGAGACATCGACAACATTGTAAACACTTATCTTCCTTCGCACTCATCGAGTGGTGGAGGACTGACCAGTGAGCGTGAGCCACAAGACTAAGTAGAGTACGCGTCTGGAGCCCTTACCCTTGTAAAGCCGGCCCTTCGTCTATAAAGGGGATGCGCTTCTTCCATCAAAGGGCGGAAGAAGAAGGAGGAAAAACAATAGAACGCACTCACACACATTCAAGCGGCCAGAAAGCTCTTGACCACCTTTCAATCTTTCGATCGAGACTTGGGACCGGTCCCTCTCTCGGCGGTTTGTATCCCTTACTACGATCGTTATGGTGCTAATAACACAAGCGACAACAAAGCCCGGGCGTGGGACGTTTCGCCCGAACAAAGTATAAATCTGTGCCCTTTAGCGCACCATCCGAGCCTAACGCGCATTACTATAAATTCACTTGCGGTGCTTGTATGCGAACACCAAGCGGTTAGGCGCGCCAGATAGGGGCTTTGCGCGTTCCAAACCAGGTCTCGGATGACCACCACGCAATCACACAGGCCCGGGCGCACTGCGTGCGTTTGGCGACCTAGATTTCATCATCACACTAGAAGGAGAGCGGGCAGCGACTCACTCGGCCGCCCCATCTCCCCTTCCATCAACCTCGGCCGTCTCGGGCTTGAGGGTCCACGGGCAACTCCGGGAGTCCCGTCACACCAAAGAAGCCTCTCTGGCAACGCCACCATGTGTCAGGAAGGGTCCATATGAGCGCCCAAGCAGCGTTCCGTTCGGTCTCCGCAACATTGCGGCAACCGCTGGCCGTCTTCTGGCGCTACTGGTGGTTCAACCACCCACGGACATCGAGTTCGTGAGGCGATTGGCGGGATCTGGAGACCCTCTGAGCTCCTCAGCGAGAGCACATATCGCTCTCGGCTCGGATTCCAGCAGGGAGCCACCACCCTTCCGAGAATGCTACATGAAGGCGAGACCCACGAGGTCACGTCGAAAGCGCCTCGGGGAAGAGGCCACCTCTGAACAATCTGACAGCGGATCCGGGAAGAAGGACAGCCCCATCTCGCTTTGAGGATGGGCGGCTAAGGGCTCGTTAGCAAAGAGATCGATGAGGCGGGCAAGGGCTCGCCGCCGGGAATACGCGGACATCAATCGCGAGATTGAACGCCCGCAAAAGGCGAAGAAGGCAGCGCGCTACAGCCCGCCGTACATCAAAGGATCCTCACCGAGCAATGGGGCCTTTCCTCACTTTGCTCGAGCCAGCCGAACATCGCCGCGCGCGACCGCTTTTCTTTGCATGGTCTCCGGAGGCCACGGCGTCGAGGATCGGCGCGCTTATCGGGAGATTCACACGTTGCTTTCGGCGCGTGCAGCAGCAGGTGAGCGGAAAGTTCGTTGTCTCGGCGCCGCGAACCCGACACCTGCCGGTAGCGCTGCCGGTGCATCCACCAGGGCGCATCCGTACACCAAACACCGCGGCGGCGGCGGGCAGCCCTCCGTCGTCCTGTACATCAGCGCCTCGGCCGTGGCGCGGCGTCACGTAGCATCATTGGCGCTCGGAGGCGTGCCCATGGCGGCGAGGGGGAAGCGGTGGCCGCGGCTATCATCCCGGCGTGGCGGGCGCTCGACAACAACAACGAGGACCAAAGCCCGAGCCCCGTCCTGCCAGGCCCTCAGGCCTTTGGCCGACACATCCTCAACGCTGTGTTCCCTCTAAGGTATCGACCGCCTACGAACATTCCTAAATATTCTGGCGAAACAAACCCTAGGCTTTGGCTCGAAGACTATCGGCTTGCATGTCAGGCCGGTGGTGCTAGCGATGATAATTTCATTATTCGCAATCTCCCATTGTTCTGGTGACTCGACTCAAAGACGGCGTGTTTGGAGCACCTACCGTCAATACTATTCGAGTTGGGCGGATCATTGAGATCTTCGTGGGTAATTTCGAGGGCGCGTACAAAGCATACAGAAACCCATGGGACCTCAAGAAGCTGCCGTCCGAAAGCCCGTGAAACCCTCCGCGGGTACATCCGGCGCTTTTCCGATAGTGCAATGAGCTCCCGAGCGTTGCCGGCGCCGACGTAATAGGAGCCTTTTACGTCCGGAACGACCTGCGAATCCTGGTCCACAAGCTGGGGACCCAGAGGGGCCCTTGAACTACCAAGGAACTCTGGACATCGCCACTAGTCATGCCTACGGAGAAGAGGTAGTCGGGGCCATCTTTGATCGTCTGAAAGCGGAAAAACAAAGCGGGACGAGGGCGCGTGATGAAGGCGCCTCAACCGTCCGCCAAAGGGAAAATAAGAAACAACAGCGCGACAACTTACTCATGCCGCCTTGCAGCCGCAAGGTGGCGGAAGCCAGCGGAGGCACTCGAACCACCGAGAAAATGCTCGAGGGGCCATGCCCAAACCACGCCTTCCGGCCAAGCACCTATACAAGGAATGCGGCCTTATGCGCATAAATACTTGGTGGGGGGCCTTAACAAGGAGGAGGCGGGGAAGGAGCCTATTCCCACCACTAACGACACGGAGGCGAAGGGCGACACCTTCCCAACTCCGACCGGTGCCCTCATGATCTTCGGAGGATCAGCGGCCTCGACTCAAAGCGCCGCCGGAAGGTCGCGCGTCGAGAGGTCTATATCCATTTGGACCGGCTATGCCAACCTATCTCCGGTGGTCGGAATCCGCCATAACCTTCGACCGGACCGACCATCCGGATGCCATCCCACACGGGAAGGTATCCGCTTGTCGTCGACCCGATCGTCGGTCCAGCGGCTCACCAAAAATCTTGATGGATGGGGGCGTGGCCTCGACATCATGTACGCCAAGGCGCTTCGGACGAGATGGGCGTCGACCGACGCGCCTCCGCCTCCGCCCGTCGAGCACCTTTCCATGGCGTCGTGCCGGGAAGGCAAGCCGTGCCACTAGGGGCGATTGACTGCCCGTCACTTTTGAGGATCGATCAATTACGGACCGAGACCCTCACCTTCGATGTAGTGGGGTTCCGGGGACTTTCCACGCCATTGCAGGAGGCGACCATGTTATTGCGAAGTTCATGGCCGTACCCAATTACACATATCTGAAGCTGAAGATGCCGGGCCCCCGTGGGATCATCACCATCGGCACACCTCCTTCCGGGCGTGCTTACGAGTGCGAGGTCGAATCTTTGCGGACACGCATCCATGATCATCGCATCCAGAAGAGCTCGTCACCCTCGAGGAGGAGGTCGGTGAGGGACACCCAGCGCAAAGAAGTCGTCCGGATCGTTCGAATCGGCGAGAGGGTTCGAGGACGTCCTCTTGGATCCCGGTAGCTCGAGGGCAAAAAGTCCGAATCGGGATGCGCTCTCCTCCGCATAGGAAAGCGGCGCTCGTCGACTTCCTCCACGCCAACAAGGACATCTTTGCGTGAAACCCTCGGATATGCGGGCATCCCGAGGAGGTCGTGAAGCATACTCTCCAAATCCTTCGACTCCAAGCCGGTGAAACAACGCTGCGCCCGCTTCGACGAGGGAAAGCGTGAGGGCCATCGGCGAGGAGATAGCCAAACCTCTTGGCGCGGATTCATTAAGGAAGTGTACCACCCCAGTGGTTAGCGAATCTGTTCTTGTTCGAAAAAAAAGCGGGAAATGGAGAATGTGTGTTGATTATCTGGCCTCA